GGGTTAGGGTCAATGGTGCCTTCTTCCTACAGTCCAGCCCCTGCGGGCTCTCGCAATCATTTATGTGATGGCTAAACCACTGGGCAAGCCCCTTGAGTCAGGACAGGCTTGACCTGCCTAGGTCCTTCTTTCATGGACACCACCCTTGGCTGACCTCAGCTGAGTGTACTTGCACATGTGGCATGGATGTGGTTGGAGGAAAGTGGGCCAGGAAGTGTCCCTGGAGGACAAAGGATGTGCTTGTCCTCCCTGCTCAGGTCGAGGGGTCCTGTTTGACTGTTGATGGGGGTGGAGACAGGCTGAGAGTGGGAGCCATTGAAGGAAGACTCTTGAGCTGGGTTGTGACATGAACTGAGCTCCAGGGTTGGGTTTTATGAAACCAAATGGTTTCTATTCCCATCATTTGTTCAACCAATGCGCCCTTAAGGGCCCTTCCCGCCCCTCAGGTAAAGCCCTGTGGCAGCTGGACAGAGTCAGACCCAGAACAGACCTTGTACTGTCTGTTCCTGTAGATGACATCCACGGCTCCAACAGGCGGCAGGTGTGCCGACGGCATGAGCTCTATGTCAGCTTCCAGGACCTCGGCTGGCTGGTAACTCCTCCCTCCCCCCTTTCTGATAGCCCACCTAAGTACATCTCCAGGGAGGAGGTACACGTTTGGGTGGTTTTCTTGTTTTATATATTTTATCTTCAGTATTTAACAACTTTTCTAAGGTGAGGATGTGTGACTTTTACAATGAGAGAGTTTTTTTGTTTGTTTGTTTTTGTAATACTCATGAAAATGGAGATTCTAAGTCCTCAGGGAAACTGAGGCAGAGTGAGTGATGCATGGGGGTGCGCCGACAGAGCGCTGACGGGGTGTAGTGGGGTCAGTGCCCAGCCCTGTCCACTGAGGAGCTTGGGGGGTGGGGGCCCGAGTTGCCCTGTGAACATGCTGACCCAGGGCTAAGGAGGTGCCGCATGCTGGACTGCCCTTTCCTCTCCCCCAGGACTGGGTCATCGCCCCCCGAGGCTACTCGGCCTATTACTGTGAGGGGGAGTGCTCCTTCCCGCTGGACGCCTGCATGAACGCCACCAACCATGCCATCCTGCAGTCTCTGGTCAGTGTCCCCGGGGAGAGCATGAGGGGAGGGGGCTCAGAGGGACGAGAGCAGCTGCTCCGTGTCTCAGGGAGTTTTCTTTACTAAGTCCACACACACACACACACACACACACAGATTCCTCCTGAGTCTGTGTGTACCACGGACACACTGAGTCCACACTTGTCTGTGTTCTCACAGGCACACATGGGACATGCGTGGACTCACATGGGTGTACCTCCACATGGTCAAATGCACAGACACATGTAACACACGTGCACACCCACCTGGGACTCATGTGATCTGAACACACATCTGTCCCCATATCCCAATGTGTGCTGTCCCCATGAGACACACGTTCACTTGGTGTGAGTTGTGTGTGTGCCTCTCCACACCCCAGGGATCACCAGGACATGGCACGGGGGCACTTGTGGGCTGAGGGTCTCAACCCTGAGTTACTTCCCCTGCTGGTGTTTCCCTCGTTCCCTTCCTCGATGCCCACATTTTCTACAGTCTCTGTGCCTGCTGACGCTCAGGTTCCGGAGGGAACTTTCAATGCTTAGTTGTTCTAATCGGAGCATTGTTGCAGCTGCTTATTGCTAAGTGCTTTCTGTGCCGTTGATTCTGCTGTGGAAATGTCTTTCTAGAACTTCTTACCTACATTCCTAGCTCCTCGCACCCCAGAGCCTTATGTTTTTGTAGTCACGGGTTGTTTAAAGGTAATGTCTCAAATTGAGAACAAATGAATCAACCACAGAAGCTTTGATGGTATGACCATGCTTATTTTCCAAATGATCAGATGGACTTTACCAGACACCCGGGAGCAGACTTCCTTTGGGAAAGCTCGGGGGTGATCTTAAGACTTGTGTGCAGTAACCCTGCCCCCCTGTTGTAGTGCCACGTGGTTTCCATGGCCCCTGAGGGGAGACCATCTACACCCCCAAGAATCTATCCCCTCCACACTGCCACTGCCCTGCCATTCCCGAGTCCTCAGTCACAGATGCGAGCGCTCACTGTGTACTGGGTGGGCAGCAGCAGATGGCCCCTGCCTACTGGGGCTGCTGTCAGTGGACCATAGACAGGGGACTTGATGCCTTCTGCAAGGAAGAGGAGGGTAGGCCACTCAGCAGAGGGAGCCTATGGGAGGAGGAGCATGTGGAGAGCTGGCGGGAGAATGTTCCAGGCAGATGGAACAAGTGCAAAATCCTGTCTTAGTCTGAGTTTTCTAGAGGAGAAAAGCCAGCGAAACTATCTATCTACATATCTATCTGTCTGTCTATCTATCTATCTATCTATCTATCTATCTATCTATCTATCTATCTATCTATCTATCTTTCCAGAGTCCTGGTGTACCACTGTAGGATGAATACCAGGTCAGTTTGAACCACAAGGTCGGTGGTTTAAAATCATTAGTAGCTCCTTGGAAACCTATACAGACTTGCTGTATATATAAAGAGAGAGAGAGATTTACTTCAAGAAAATGACTCAAAAGATTGTGGAATTGACAAGTAAATCCCAAAACTATAGGCCAGATAAGGTGGTGGGTTGGAGACTTCTACTGCCTCACAGGATTATGGGAGCGTGTGAATCCAAACGCTACAGGTCAGGTGCCAATCTGGAGACTTTTGCCGGCTTAAGAAGATTTACGCAAGCAACAAGAAGTGTGTAGGGTTGAGAGAGAGTACGTTCTACCAAAATATCCATTTAGGATATTCTGAAGGCAGACCACACAACTGATGGTTAATCCTGTCATATCTCATCATGGATGGTGATTATATTACAGAGCGGCAACTAGTCCAGTATCTGGATAAACCACGGAGAAACAATCAAGTTGACACAAGATTAGCCATCACAGTCCTATTCACAGGAAGGAGCTTGGTGGCCTCAGAGCCAACAGGGAGGCAGGACTGATGTGGACTAAGCAAAGAGGAAAGCAGAGAGAGGTGAAATTGGAGGTAGGCAGGCCAGGTCATGGAGGGTCTGTGGTTTCCAGGTTGTTGTTGTTGTTAAGTGCCGTCGAGTCGGTTTCGACCCATAGCGACCCTGAATAGGGTTTCCGAGGCTGTAAATCTTTACGGGAGCAGATCGCCTCATCTTTCTCCCGCGGAGCAGCTGGTAGTTTCGAACTGCTGACCTTCCGGTTCGCAGCCCGACTCGTAACCACT